TTATTTAGCTTCAGACAATGCTATGCATTTCCTAGTATATTTATATATTTTACGACTTGGTTTTATTTATTATATATATTATGTCAAATTAGATTACATTTTGAACAAATATTCTTTTAAATGATATAGTAAATCAACAATCAAAAATCTATGATTCTTATCAGTATAGTCATAACTATAGTGTGTTTCCTAACTATCATTTGGCAGAAAATGAGATATCATTACAGATAAATTATGTAAAGAAAAACTCTAGTATAGGGATTCTAAATAGTCCTTACTCAGAAATACTTTGTAAAATGTAAACCTTGTTCCAATAACTTTTATTGTATAGACCATTTGACTCTTTTCTATTGTAGAACTGTTAGTATTGTCAAAATTAGTGAAGGCATATGCAAGAATTTCAGCAAATATCTGTGATTCTCTATATTTGGGTTTTTTCCTCAAACTACATATATATTTATCCTCATCTATAAGAACCATTGCATTTTCTTTTAATATGCTAAATTTAACCTTGGCAGATATATCTTTGTCAGATATACTAAAACTGAAGTCTGGTTGCAATCTCAATATAAATGGATATTTGTTTAATCTTAATTTCATAAGAAGATAGCAGACGAGTGAATTGAATCTGTAAATGTTTCCCAAATTTCTTTAGATTGTTTCTCATTTAGAATAGCATCATTAAGATATATTGCAAGCGATAGTTCATTGTTATTATTTTAAGTATTGCTACCAACAATTCTTTTCTCATAAGATTACCTACAAATAAATCATTATTGATCTGGATGTTTTCCAAAAGAATATCAAATATTTTATTTGCTGAATTTATATTCTTGTAATGTATGTTTAGAGGTTCTCTATGAATTGATAAAAAAAGACTTGCACTATCTGATAATTGCTTGGGATCTTTTAATTTATCTGATAAATACTTGAGATATTTCAATGATTTTGTTTTACAAGATACTATAGTTGGAGTAAAATTTCTTTTATAAAATAAACGTGAATTTATATTGGTTTGTTAATTAAGTAAATTCACTTGTTTATGTCATGACTAAAATTAGGATCTGACTAAAGTTGAAACTTTAGTTGACTGAAGTTGGCACCTGCCTAAAACTAATTCAACTTCAGTCAACTAAGGTTTTAACTTTAGTCAGATTCCAACTTTAGTCATGACATTTACTATAGGATAACTATAAGATAACTGTAGGATTTTTTTTATTAACGATAATGATAAGGCTTTATATAGTGTATATACAAATTTTAAACTATTATTGTTATTTTTTTTTACTTCAGCGATCCTTCCTTTATTTTATTTATTGGAAGTAGATTACAAATATGCCCTCAGCTAGCTAGGCTTACATGTAAATCATTAATATTACTATATTCTTGTCCAAATAAAGAATCTCTCAATCTGTCTCATTATCACAGTAAAAACTACGGCCGAAGCCCAAAGTTTTTACGCTAGAGTATGACCTAGGAGCGACTCGCCTAAGTACCAATTTTTCTCCATCTGGAACTTCAACTTACTGAGGCTGTGAACCCGGACTTCAACAGATGGAAGTACTGACCTTGTTAGAATAACCGCTCTACAATAGAGTGTTGCCAATCTGATAACACTTTCTCGTAGAGAAGTAAAAAAGAAAAAAAGAGATAAGGGAAAAACGAAAATAGGGAAAGTAAAAAAAACTAAAACATATAAGAAAACGACCAACTATAAAGGAATCTAAAAAACTATCCTAAAATCTAAGAGAACTTGTCTACAGATATAAAAATCTGCTAACCAGATAAAAAACTATCTACATAATCGTAGAAATCTATATATAGAGCTATTTGACAAAAAAGAAACTAAGAACTAAAATGCACTTTAACCTGTGCCAAAGACTAAAAATTATGGTTATACTACAGAATCCCGACACTCAAAATCCTGACGCTTAAAATCCCGACAACAAAATCCCAAAACACAAAATCC